ATCAGCATACTACTGATAGAACAACTACAGGTTGGTTTAATCAGGTGGATAAATATTTAAACCCTAAGCAGCACATTGCAACAACATCTTGATATCCATTCACAGTGAGTCTATGAGCACCAGTTGTGTCTTATCAGCATGAAAAGATGGTGCGACGGAGACTGAAGATCCCAGAGATCCATTAGTGTCCTCTTTTTCATTTTGACACTGACTTCTGGATATCTGCCATCACTTAATATTATATTACTGCATCAACAACCCCCGTTTATCATTATTACTGGCCCCTAATCTCTTGTGACAGTTAATCATGTTACAAGTTCTTTGGGTCGCTTCAGTTCTTTACAGCTTTCAGCATTGTCTTTGTTTTCGTTATGCCATAATATTCATAACTTCTGATCACTGAACGGCCCGTTATACAGTGTATCCTCCGTCACAACTTGTGTCTTAATAACAGAAGTCACCCGCTCTCCCTCAGTGCTGGTTAGCCGTGCTGTGATTAATGTCTTCATGGTCTGGTCAAAGTGTCGATATCTTCAACAGCTGGGCCCATCTGTCATCTTTTTCCTGTGACACCCCTGAACGTAACTCAGGTCCTATCAGGGAGGCCATCCATCAAAGTGGTAAACAGAGACGTCTCACATTAGCAGCCCTGAACACTTCTCATCATATACCATAACAGACAAGCAATCATCTGGTATTATGTCGCGCCACAGGCTAATGTGAAATATTAACGGAAATATACAGCACACCAGCTGCCGATTGGATGGGGCATCTGTGCTTAGCGTAATGGGTGGGTAACAATTTAATATTGTGGAGACAGTAGATTGTAGATTTTCTCTAGAGATTTGTTCCAAAGCTGTAACACTGGATCAGGTGCCACGCCAATACAGAGCAAATGATTTTAGAGAAATCTTTCCCTCTTTACCCTTTTTTTCCTAACCATGCTTTGTGTGTGTAAATCAAAGGCACAGAGTCCATTTACTCTGAATAGCTTACGCCTGCATATTGATTTGTGTTGTATACTCTGTTGTAAAGTCTGAGAAGTAAAGTACAGAAGAGCATTTCACTTGTAGTTAAACCAGATCCGTTGTATAAGAGACTCATAAAAATGACTGATACCTACAACCACCTTGGAATGTAGAATCTAATGTTGCATTTATTACATTTGCCTGTCGCGTTGTTTCCTCTAGGGGGCAGTAGAATCAGGGGCAGCCAGGGTGTCTCTTCATCCGTCCGATAGGTGACGGATTCGCCACCATTGCTGCTCAGATAAATGCTAGAGGGTTGAGGCCATGGGCCATCTTACTAGGGATCAACCTCATCGTTCTCTCCAACAGCCCCCCCCTCCGACCCCCTGCTCCCCACCTCCCGCCTATCTCTCTGCCTTTCTTGCAGTCCTATGCAGCACTCACTCCTGGCAGGGATTATGCTGACACTGTAGTGGGAGGCATATATGCACGTTGGAAATCAAGATATGGAGCTTTTGTCAGTGCACTTGTCAAGTGATGGAGATAAATGCATGTAAAATATGTGTTTTCAGTGTTCATTTCGGAAGCTCCGCCTAGCACTCCGCCTAGCACTCCGCTCTCTTTAAAATCAAGAGCCTCATTTCTGTCTCTATATTTTTCTCACTGCTTCCAGCAGGGATGGGTTTTTTTATATTCACAACTGAAACATAGATAATGGTCTCAGCAGTGGGGATTCTTTAAAATAAACTTGTTAAAGTTAGAGATAAAAATGTGGTGATATCATAGATAAAACATCAGTCTCTTGGCTCTTGTGGCTGACCATTGTGGTCCATTATTTGGATTCAACCAACAGCAAACCACATGGTGTTTGAAAAAGAAAAACTCTATTAGATAAAGGAGGCCAAATTGAGCACAGGTCCCCTGGAATTGAAGCAAGATAGTGTTTCTTTGACTCTTTGAAACCCAAGCACGATCTGGCACACATTTAGGAGGAGAACGGCTAATTGCATCAGCACCTCTGCATAAAAACTCAGTCAGTTATGAAGACATAATGGGAAACAGGATTCCTCTGCAATGCTTCATGTAATGCACAACTTTTTTATTTCCGCGCTCAGAGGATTTTTTATTTTTTTTTTCCATCTGCTGTGGTCAAAGCAGAGATACCCATTGTAACAGTAGGAAACATATCACATGTATTGAGGAATGAAGCAAAGGAGGCCAATAAGCAGGGCAGTTAAATGGAAATAGTTTCATTTCCTTTGGTGTAAACAAATACCCCATGTAGTCCCCGGACCAGAGCTGTGGGTAATCGGCTGCTATAACTCAACAGAACACTTTGCCCTGAGCTAAACATAATACTTCCTGCACTTAACTAAATCCATTTTTCAACCCTCAGAAGAGTTATGACACACCAATACATTATTGCACAAACATCTCACAAAGTTGAACCTGTGCAAAACACGCAATAGTGTTTATTTAAAGAAATACAAGACATTTCAAAAGAGATTTCAGAGCAATGACACTATTTGGTAAAGAAGATTTCGACTTAGTTCCCCTGTTATTCTTCATTTATTATTCAGTGGACTGAAAATAATTATATTAAAATTTGAAAATGACTATCCTGAACTCCTCTTCTATTTCAATTTGATTCTCCTCATTTTCACTTATCCATGTGACTTGCACATATCAGGAGGTTAGTCAATAGGCCATTTCCCATCATTATGGATTCTCTTCTCAGAGCTCAGGCTTTGCTTTTCATACACTGTGTAGCCCGGATGCTGACTGCGGCAAACTCAGATAATTAATCACTGCTTGCAGCTACAGGTCCACACAGAATTGTATAGATTCAGAGAAACAAGATGTGCAGTTATGAGAAAAGTGGTATGGATTGAGCACAAAGTCAAAGAAATCCTTCTGAAGGACAAAAAAATATCCAAAGTGTGAGATTAGGCACCTGTCTGAGACCTTGAGCTTGCCTGTCATTACTTTATTTTTTCTGGCCAAGTTCTTAAGTTCATCCTTTTGTAATTAGCACCTTGCATCTCTGAGATGTGTTATAGCTAACTGCTAAGGAGAGGATGAAGCCTGCACTACTCTAATCGCATGAATGCTTCTTTTCACCCCATCACAGGAAGATGCGGGAGGTCTTTTTTCACTTCTGCAGGTGGTGTGAATGCTAATATTGCCACACCTTCTGAAGCAGCATGCCTGTATCCAAAGCCAAGATACTCCTATGATACCTCACACCGGTGATGCTGTTTGTACAACCTAGCATAAACACTTTGCCCATTTGTTTCACTCAAGTTGTAATGGTGCTTGACTAGCTCCTTGTGCTTGCACGTTTCAGTTCATATCTCAGCAGTAAAGCAGGAGACAGGTCGGTCTAAGGTCCTGCTGCGAGGCATTGGTAGATAAAGCACACTGCAGGTAAAAACATGCATGACCACTCACCATTAGATCACTCCCCATGCTGTCCCTGAGATGGCGCTCTTAATTAGAAGGTCCTTGGATCTTGCTGTCTAAACTCAGGTTTTACTGCGCGCATTACCATTTTATATAATACAGTTCCTCGCAAGCTACGGTAAAACATTGCAGGGGCGTACAGTATATTATGAATACATGCTGTAATTGACACTATTTTGGAGTTGCTTTATGGCTTCATTTTGAACTGCTGCGTTCTCCCGAGCACCGTCTGCGTTGTCTTTGGCGATTAGCCTGTTACTCACCTGTACTTCCTCCCTAGACAATGGCCTGTTCTGCTCTTGCAGATGATGAGGTGCAGTATCAAAGCCAAATGAGATGGCTGCCAATTAGAGAGGGCTTCCAGGTGCATTTCAATGCAAACTCGCACCAGTAACTGCACCCTGTAGTGTCTCCATTCAAAGACACTTTATAAGGGGTAGACTTCAACAAAAACTTATTAAAGTATTTCAATTACCAGAATAAATGACAGACTTCTTTTCAATACTTAGCACAGGGGGGGATTTTGAACTTTGTAATGATGTCTTACTAAATGTTCTAAGTAGGAATTTAAATTGACTTGCCGCCGGTACAGTTTGTATAACATCTTTTTTCTTCCTTTAATGCTGAAAGTTAAATAATAAAAAAAATCAAATAATCCATTTGTCTGTGTTCTGGATGGACTCCAGTTCAAATGCTTGAAAACAGTGTGAGACGACACAGTTATTTGGACAACACCCCCACACTCCCCAGGGGATACAACAGACTTTTGTATAGTCTCCACAAGTATTTTAGCACAAAGGCTTCAGAGAAATCCAATCACCTTTCACCAAATGTACATGTCATCCCTAACAATAGTTTAAATATCTGTAGATTTGGATTAATGCCTGTGCTAGGTAAGTGTGATCTTCCTGTTCAGACTAAATTTAATTGGAGTTAATTTTGTGTTAAAATGAAGGGAAAACCCAATAAATGCTGCCCAAAAGGGGTGGAAAAATCAATGCAGACTTAGACATTACCATTTTAAGCATGAGTGATTAACCAGGAACTTCCCTCTTCAAACACCTTTTACCCAAAGCAGGTTAGGTCATAACAGAAAAAAAAGACTATGTTCTTGTAAGTGTGTTTCCTGAATCTGCAAATGTACAGTGGTGCTACAAAGTGGCCTTTGAATCAAAATTTTTAGTTATTCAAATTAAATCAAGTCAGGGCAGATGGAAAGAGCAGTCAGAAGAAGCTCGCTGCTGTAAATCTTGAAGCTCTACCTCTGTGATTGCTCAGGCCACCGTGGAATAAAGATTAGAAGAAAATCACTAATCACAGCGGATGTCATTAGCATACTACCAATAACGGGATGCAAAAGGGAAAAGAGGAATTGCCTTATAATGCTGGTTAAAGTACGAATCAATGCCATGTATGGATGCACACAGCTGCTTGACAAACAGATATATTCACATCCAAACATGGGTAAAGGAAGTGTCTAATAATGATGTTTTTTTCAATGTTTTTGTCTGAGTCACTCGCTGAAGCACTTGATGCTAATATCACATTCCCCCTCTCTCTTTTGATCAGCTTTTGCAGCTGGGCTGCCCTGCCTCACTTGGATGCATCAACAAAGCTTGAAGTGGCCACTCTAATCTGGGTAAGTATTGCCTGGTTGGGGAGAAATTAGCCGAATTCTTTTAACTTTTCAAACAAACATAATACAGTCAAACTTGCTGGATGAGAATCAATTACATGAACTGAAAATAGGTTCGGGGGGGATATCATTTCATTTCTGGAAATCATCTAATACATCTTTTCAATGGCATATGCCTGTAGTGTCACATCGGAGCCATATTTCAGTCCAGTGAAATGAATGAGGAGTATCTGTTGAAATACCGCCGGAATACGTTTCACAAATCTTTTTCACCCAGTGGTTATATTGCCATTATCAGCATTACTTCAAAAATAGTTATTCCCTGCCTAAATCCATAAGATATTGTAAGGAATAATGGGATAATTTTAAGGTAATTGCATAGTTTCTCACTATGATTGGTTGGATTGGTGACCACAAACTATTGTCCTCATTGTATTGGTCTATTATAATAATAATAATAATCTCTGTCTAAAACATTCAATTTATTCATATTTAATAATTTTATTTCTGTGGTTGGGAAATGTATTTTCCTGAAATGCAATAATATAAACAGTACAATGGATGTCTGATTGATTTAGTATTCCAAACGGATGTATGTTTTAGTTATAACAAATATATGGTATACTCTTCAATCCATTTGATAACTGCAGCTGTACAATCCATGAGGAAAATTTTCATTAAAATTCTAATAAATAAATCACATTTTCATTTAAAAGTCACATACGTATATGTGTGTATGTAAAGCTGAGAATATCAATCTATGTAGCTGTTGAACAGTAATGTGTGTAGATTAATTACCGCAGAGATAGTGAGAGAAATATGTTTAGTTTGATCCTATTTTAACATCTTCTCTTTTCAAGAGGTAAGATTCTGAGAAAAGCTGAATCCCTTTATTATCGACTTGCCTAACAGATGCTTTGGAGGGGAAAAAAGAATATGATTACAATACTAACATTTTTGTTGTATTGAACATTTTCTCTCATTGGATCTTTAGGGCAGATTGTCTCCATTTTTCAATGTGTCTAAACCCTTTGTTTGAGAGAGATCTGTTAAATCCGTCTTGCTGCTAATAAACTGCCATTATTCCCTCCAACAAGGCTGCACTCATTAATAATGCTTCTGTCAGATGCTCATTCTCTTCTGTGAAAATAGAAAATATCATTAATTACAGTTTCTGTCACCCTTTGACAGCTCAAGCAATTGTTCCAGTCCCTGAGTTCTGTTTCATTGTGTCCATACCTAGTGACCACCTATTCTTTACTGTCTCAATGGGGATGTCCAGCATGTGAGAGCCACAAAAGCCCTGGGAGATCTCACCACACATTGCAAAGCTTCTGTCCCAGCAACACATTAGTCATCCAGGGAGCGATTGAGTTTAGTGGTAAACTCAAAATGTAGGCTCTGTCTCACTCACTCAAGCAGAGATCAGGTATCAGTCGAGACTGAGTCGGTTTACTTTTTTGCATAGTGGATTTGTTGCATTTTTGGTACTCAGGGAAGAAATCCTCCTCGGAGAAACACAGAGTGATTTTCTTATTCAATTCATCAACAGGGGGAAACAAAGAAAAAAAAAAGACCTGACTTAAGATTCAGCAGCTGAATGTAGAAGAGCGCATTCTTGCATGCATACACAAGGATCGCATTGCATGTGGAATGCTTACAAATAAAATATGGTCAGTGTCAATAAAAGGAAACAGTTGCAGGACAAGAGCTTAACTTTCCCCACATATCCAAGCAAGTCTGTTAACAGAGGGAGTTGCTTGGATTGTTAAGTTTCACATTATGTAAACAACAGAGACGCTCAGAATAACACACCAAATGCTCTCCAGAGCGTTGCCATGTCGGACCAATATGTGGCTTACTTTGGTGAGTCACTTTTATTCATGCTGCTGAACTTAATACTGCAGCTACCATACATTACAATGGAGACCAGAAATGTTTATTAAGTGCTATCACTTACCAACAGCTTGCTGTGTAGCACCAGTACGTGTCAGCCGCCATGCAGAGCTCATTTGTGTTTGTTTATGTATGTTTTTTGATTGGCCTGTGAAATCATATACATGTATCTGAAAATGATATGTATGTATATGTGTCAGGGAATTTATGTACATCTTTATGAGGTTTATTCCATTCACAGCCTTTATATTGAATTAATTCTGCGAGTATTGAAACGAAAAATAAAAATATACTGTAGAATGAAAAAATTAAATATACTTATTTATATGCGGTCTCCTTTGTTTCTATACTACACAGTTCATGTTAGTGAGTCAATACAATATACATTTCATGATTAATGGTTAAATTAGAGCCTGACTAATATATTGGTTCTCTGATACTGGCCAATCACAGACATATTGACATATCATATAGGTATCCGTGTATATCTTATCTGTTATGTGGCGATATGAAAACAGTTTTTCTGGTATATAATGCAGGAAAAAAAAATATTGGTGTCACTGCAAAGTGTAGCCAGAAGAGTTTTCTGTGATTGACAGTACTATGGCTAGCAGTGCAGAGTACTATGTATATGTTGAATTATGTTAAAATATAAAAATAATCACATCCGTGTCGGTCTCAAAAATTCCGTATCAGTCAGGCTCTAGATTAGGAATCCAAAATGAACCAGATTCAGCAGGAGAATTGAGTAAAGCGATGCTTAAATAGAAATGAAATGGAAATTAAACAGACATTCTCCATCATCTGCATTATTTTGGGGATAGGTTGCATGTTTTTTCTGCTTCTGTCACAAGGTTTGCATCAGCCTGTCTAAGCTAATAAAATCCAGTTCTTACATATTTTATATTAAGTTGGATAAGAATTAACTTATTCAACGTGTATCAATAAACTGAAAGTCTTTTCAAAGCACACATAAAAGTGTACATATACACATAACACGTACATACAGTAGATGATGCAAAACTAATGATGTGATACACACCGATTCATTTAATATTCTGCTTTTACATAAATGGCCCTGAACGTTTGTAGCACACGTAGGGTTATGTTTAATACAGTGCAAATACTCAATGCTCAAATTAAAATCAGTCACTCAAAGAAAAAGACTCAAAGAAAAAAGGTGTTCTTCAAAGGCCTTTGAGGGAAAGATGTGAATGTGTTGTTCATTATTCATTTCCAGGAAAAGGCCAAAGATTTCATTTTATATTCTGTGGCTGTGATAAACCGTATTAATGGATAAGCTGTCGAGGTACCATACTGTTTCTTAAGTTATTGCTGAAATATTCTTTCACATATTCTGTCAAACACGGGATTATATGACACAATAACGTAGACTTTGGTTAAAGTTTCTCATGATGGATAAGCTTTGTAGGATATGGTACTAGACCCCATACATGGATGTAATTAAACAAGGGCAAGTGATAGCCATAATGTATCATCCACTAGAGCTGAGGTCCTGGCTTCCTACGAACCAGTGTTACCAGAGACAAATGACTTGCAGCAGTCGCCAGCGTCGCTTTTAACTTTGCATGGTGCAGACACAGGGAGGGAATGTCTCCCTATCAGTGGTGGCCCAGTCAAGACAAATGGACAGTCATAATCCCCCCACTGGTGGAGAATGTGGTTTATTAGAATACGATACAGTGGATGTGAAATATTTTTCTTGCAGCGCGATTCAGTTTCCAGCTCGTTCCTCACCACACACAAGTCATACTTGACAGTTTTCACTTTTTTGAAGGAGCTTAGCCATCTTGGTGCTACTGCCTTCAAAGTTAGATAAGTTGTCTGTCAAGGAGGAGAGTCTGAAATGTATTATTACTGCCTGTTCGGTTCCCTACTAGAGAAACTCAAGTGTGCAGATGTAAGTAGGGCACAACATTCTGTGTAATTAAGTTGGACAAAATGCACAGTGGGTTTAACTAAAGAGAAATATGCATTCCTAAGTGTCCTAAATTTAGATACTCATTCTGGTATCTATTGGCAAATGCTGTTTGTGTATTCAGTTACTGGATGCTCTGTTTGGGCCATGCATGCAGGAACTGCTGACATGGAAAGATTTAGCTATTATTGCATATCATTACATGAATAAAATATGTGTATGATTACATGCAAAAGTTTGTTCAACAATTCTCCAATTTAGGTTTGTTGGGTTAGGGGAGGTGGGGTGGGGATGGAGAGGGGCAGGTTTTGTCAATACCTTGAGCAGTAATAGGCCTATGACCTGTGTTAATAATGAATAGAGAAACTATTAAAAAAAAGTAATTTTCAACAGTGAATCACGTTGCATGGATCAAAAGTCAAAAAGTTTTATTATTTATTATTATTACTAGTATTTTAACGTATAGGCATGCATCCATTTTCTGTACTCAGTCCAAGAAGTATCAAAGAAACATTTAGTCATACTTGATAAACCCACACATCAACCTCAGTGGCTTCCATTCAACTCCTCATTGTGTTTTCCCTCCTCCTATGCCCATTCAGCCTACAACCTCTACATTGTCATTCATGTTACCCCGACTCTTGGGGCTCTAAAACACGTTTGCTTCTATCTCATACACTTTGGTCATTTCCTTTAACACAGTAAAGACCTGCGGTGCTAAGAAAATCATTTATGGCTTCTTATGTCCTGTCCTGTGCTCCAGGGGCCCTGCAGTGTCAGGGGAATGTAGATGAGGTAGATGAGCCCACCTCAGACCTCATTTTTGCCTCTCGTTTTTTTATAGACCTGCAGATGGTTCCTTGCACACAGAGACCCCCAACGGGACCTTTTATCCTTGTTCTAAAAATGACCATCTGAGCTCTTGATCATAGGTGGTTCAGGTTCAGGTGAGCCCCCATTTCAACCCATAATTTTTCAGTAATTCCAGTTGCCCATAAGCGACATTTCACATTAAGATGTATTTGCTTGGATTGAAAGACATTATTCATCTGCTTTTTAATATCTTAATGTCACTGAATCTGTATTTAGTTGAAAGTTTTGTGTGAGGAATTCACACACAAAAGATTTATGTTGTAATTACTTGAGCATAATTACCGGGAAACAGTTAATCAGCATAAATTAACAAACCAAATAGTTTGAAACATGCACTTGAGGAATAAACATACTATCAATTATAATGAAAAACAAGAATTCAGGGTGCTCAAAAATTGCTTAAAAACTCTCTATTCCACATTTTTCTTCAAAACTTATCATTAAGCGGTTTGTTTATAACTTTTTATGAATAGTCAGTCCAAATTTTTTTTTTTTCTTGCTATTACTTGGGTGCCTTTTTTGGATTGCTGTTGATCAGCCGTTGTGTTGTACAAGCACATTTTTAGCGTTTACAGCTACATGGCCGATTGGATACTCACTATTATGAAGGACTATGTTAAGTGATGATGCTGACATTTAATGTACAAAATAGTGACTGATATTGACTTTTAATATACCAGATAGTAATTAATAATAGCATATACTTTGGTGAAGGAACTAACAGTTAACAGTTTTCTCTTCTGTTTAATATTAATATCCAAAAAGTCGATGACATTTTGGTCCCTGTTTCTTCACATTTTGACCAAACTTCGGGCCCCAAACCTACATTTTAAGAGCCGAGGGAAACACCTGCCAGTCTGTCACAGGGCTAACACATACAGATTCACATTCACACCTACAGGCAATTTAGAGTCTTCAGTCAACTTGAGCTGCATGTCTCTGGACTGTGGGTGGAAACTGGAGCACCCGGAGGAAATACACGAAAAAACAGGGACAAACACATGAACCTGTTAAAGTGTAAAGTGACAGTGTCACTGAGCCACCGTGCCTCCCCCTACTGAAATCCAGACTAATGCAATTCTTTAGCAGCAGCTCCATAAGGTATAGTGACACTCCACGCCTATTCAATGGAGACGCAGATTTTGGCATAAATTAATGCCTCCCTTAGAAAAAAAGATCTTCTTTCAGTCATTTTCAAGCAGCAGTTAGGAGTTAGGAGACGAGCCGTAACATGTCTTCTGTTATTAAATAATCTCAACGTTCCCCTTCCCAGTTTTTTCTAAAACTTTCAATGGCATCTCATAGTTTTCATCAGCGAATAGACTTGGTTTAGGTGTTTAGTGTTTTGTTAGCATTGAAAACTTCCCCCAAGGAAGCCTCAAATGAGAAAAAAGAAACATTTTCACCTTTTTTGGCCTAACATTTATACCTAACCACTTAACGTAGTGCCTATTTGACAATTTAAAATATGTTTGAGTATGAGTTGAGTATTGAGTATGTATTCAAATCACTTATACTTTACTGCTAACATTTTTGACAGTTTAATTTAGGATGTTTACTCTAAATGAAAAATGCATGCTGTTAATCAAATAAAAGGAAGGTTTGTATTATCTTCAGCTACAAGAAATATATAAAATATTTTCTCTGTTTAGTTGAATGCCTGATGCTATAATCCAATATATCACAATATGTTAGGATTACCACTGAATTTAGCTCTTTGCATCCTTCCTTTGCAGATTATAAAATAATCTTGCGAAAGGGATTTAGGAAAATATCTGTAGATTATGATTGAATCCTGAATTGTAGATAAGAGGTTGGGCAGAAAAATGCTGGTGTTTGGAGTTAGTAAGAACTTCAGTATTTTAGATATAGAGCTTAGGTGGCTGTACTTCATAAATCCAACCATTTAAAATGTTACAAAGATCATCAGCCTTGTTTTTGCTTCCAAAAAGTGAGAACGGAGTCTTGCAAATGGTGTAAGAGTCACGACTCCACCAAAATACGTTGTCACAGACTATTAAAACTAAAATTGAGATAAAGAGGTTTAAAGTTAGTTTATGCTGACAACCAAGCACAGAAAATTCATTTTAATGTCCCTTTACTTGCTAATTCACTATTTGAGAATATTACCCGTGCAAAAGAGTTTACTCAAGAAGTTCGAGTAATGCCTAAAATTGTGGCTGAGCATGAGATTGGATTTCATTCAGCATGAATTTCCTCTGAGTCAGGTACTGTAGCATAGATCAGCCCTCCTTAACAGTACAGTTAACAAACTTCATATGTGGCAGGGGTTAGCGCTTATATGCTCAGACTAGGTACTGTTTGTAGTGCCTCCTAAAGGAGGCAGAACACTGTGGATTAGTAGCAAGGCTAACGTTTAGCTCCCACCCCAGACAACATGACTCATAAGCTCTAAAGAGCTTCCGCATATGTCTGCATTGTAAGTCCATTTGTGATATGACAACATGACCTTTGGATTCAGACCCATCTGTTCTGCTTCAAATGTTTACATAAGAGTAAACAAGTGCTTTGTATTTGCACTGACTGGAGTTTTAGAAAACATGCTCCACAAACAAACCCATTTTTAATAAATCTTGTCCTCAGTGCTGGCTGTAACAGGCGGCGGACTCAAGAATGATTACTGTAAGAAAGCAGCATTGCACTTTTGCCCCATATGTTCATTTTTTCCTTCCTTGTTACATCATTACATTTCACTATGTTTTGCCTTCTTGGCATGAATTCATCACCTTCAGTGTCACATTCATTATAGCTGTATTATATATATAGTGTAGTGGATAGTATCTAGAGTTTGAAAGTAGGGCCATGCATGCACTGAGAAAACCTAATTGTAAAACTAATTGTGTTTGTTGATTTCAAACCACAAGTTTAATTTTAAACCCGAATTAACTCTTTTGACCTCTTTTAAACACAACCCTGACACGTTATCACCTCATAAAGTTATATATGGTGAACGTGTTAGCAAATAATTGCTTGTCTAAAACATCCTGCAAACACATATTCTTTCTGAATCAGTTTCTTGCCACCTGGTGAATCCAATATTAACTTTCCTTTACATCTGTTTGGGTTTCTACCAACTCCTGAGGGATCTATCTGACTTTTTAGCAGCTAAATGTTCCACTATGTTCACCAGCTAGTCGCTTTGTCTGCCGTTTAGAGCCGGACAGGTAGCGTACAGGGGATTTATGAGATCATTTTTTGCTAAAAACAGCTGCATGCTGCAGGAAATGGGAAAGCTGGAAATGGGGTTGATGAGAGAGAGAGAGAGAGAGAGAGAGAGAGAGAGAGAGAAGAACAAAAATATGAATGTGCAGTTCTATTGAATGCGCTCAATAGAACCACAGGGTTGGTTGACAATTGACGAATCTGTAAGTATGCATATTGATCCATTGTTAATATGAAAAGACTGATTAGTGCTACTTAAAGTAAACATTGCAACACGCAGACTAATGCTTTAATAAGTAGCAATATGTTAAGACAAATGCATATTGTAAGAATTGCTTTGAAGACACAGTGAAAATAAATAAAAAAGTCTTATCTAAAACTTAGTTTACATCTCCAAAATAAAGTGACTGTGCTTTAATTTATTAATTTCTTCCTCATGCTTCTCTTTATTTAACAATGTAGGTGAGGGAGATGTGGGTGGAGGCCAACAGTCTGTATTTGTTAAGCCCAATTTTGAATATTTAGAATACTTAGGTGTTTTGTTCTGTGTTTGTTTTTTTGTTTCTTTGGCACTTTTATTTACATATAGAACAGAATCAGCTTTATTATCACACACACAGTCATACACAGGCACAGTACAACTCATAGTGGAATTTGTGCTCTGCATTTAACCCATCTTAAGTACCAGGATCAGTGGAGCAGCCACTGTGCAGTGAAACCGGAGCACCCGGAGAAAGCCCACGCAGACGCAGGGAGAACATGCCAACTCCACACAGAGAGGCCCTGCCCTAACTGGAAAACAAACCCAGGATCTTCTTGCTGTGAGGCAACAAACGTAAGCATCACATCGACCTTTCTTATTCGGTTCCGTTCCTAGAGGCACATACACCTTTACATTAACCTCATTCTAACCAATATGCAGTCAACCATATGTTTAACCATACACTTAATTCACCCGTTGGGAAACTGTAGTTAGAGTTTGCCTGTTATGCTTTCCATAAAATATACACAAATATCCCTCCATTGTTGGATGTTTGGTGGCTTTACTTTTCTTCATAACACTGTAATCATCTTCTTGATATTTGATCAGCAGCAAGAGCCCAAGCAAATACGCCTGATTCTTGGTATCTATATCCTGTGGAGTCTCTCCCAATATAAATAATATAAAGAATGCTCTACAAGTAGATCTGCCCCCAAGATTTGCTTGATGTCTGTCTGAATATCTCTCTAATATTGATAGAATTTGGGACAGTCCCAGAAAATGTGTGTATGGTTGCCGATCTGTCCACATTCTCTCTCCAGCATAATCCTGAGGTGTTGCTGTATCTACACTTTAGGTGTTTTTAAAATTGCTCCTAGAAGCCTGAGTAATCCTTAAATAATCTCCATTTACTCTCCCTCAATCACTTGACCCTCATTTGACAAATCAGTGCAACGAATAAAAAGGGACAATTTTAATTAAGCTGCAATAAATTAATAAGTTGCTCACTTTTCCTCCTTGCCTAGACATCCACTGAACCCCCATGTGACTTTTCAAATAAATGGCCTAAACAATAAAAACAAGAGACATACAACTATTCAAATTAGAATTATGGTCTCTGTGGGCCAAGTGTAAAATTGCTTTCACCTCCACTGTGTTGACCGGCAGGCCAGGTCATTACTGTAATTCCACTGTGAAACTATTTTACCTCAAATCAAGTTATAAACTGTTGAAATTAACAAATGAGTGTAGGATGGTTGAATTTGTAGGGAGAGTACAAAGATACTCTAAAACGTATGATAATTAAGGTGAAGTAAACCACAAAGCCTGAAAGGTTATAGTCAAATTTTGCTCCGTGTAGAAATACCTCACTCTCACTGCTTGTTACTCTCATCAGAGTTTGCTGTTGTTTTCCTACAATATGCATATCGCATAACAAAGAACAGTACATATTGCATCATTTAGGTGCAGTCAGTCGAATCCTCCAGATGTGCAAGGATTTGTCTGGCTTCCTTTGTTTTGACATTTGACATAAAGACTACACAAATTAAAACCTAGTATATCACTCGTTAGTACCATCAATCAAACATGTAAAAATGTTTAAATATACAACACCGCTGACATGTGGAACTACCTGTTGACACAGCTCAGATAAATTAGGCCCCTAAACAAACCATTCCTTGGTAAATCATCCGTTAACGTCGTGTTTTTGGAAAAACTGTGTTTGCGTTTTTGGAGTCAGAGGGTGTTCCTTCTGTTAAATCAATTGGTGACAATCATTATTCTTAACTATGCTATAAGGGAAAGCTATTTGTTCTTGCCAAATACATATATATTGCTCATAAACCACTACACATTTGTTTGAATAAAATGTTTCATAGACAGCATAGAGTTTTGTTGTGAATTTACCTCCTCATTTTCTGATTTGTTAGGATTCATTTGAGCATGATATTGCTATAAAACCATAAAACAGTAGTGAACTCCCTCATTCCCTTTCAGAGACGCTTTGAGTCTATGCTCTGAAATACACACAAACCTGAGACAATAACAGTTAATCAGCCAGCAGCGACTTCCTTCTACTGACAGACATCTCAACAACAGGTAGACAAACAAACACGTCTGCAAGGAGCCCATCCTGTTGTATCACTGGCTTGTCAGTTGGAGTCATCACAGTGTATGTGTAATGTTTATCTTACTAAAGAAAACTGATAAGTAAATACGTCTCAGGGGGAACCAGTCCTCTGATAATGTAAAGGAGTGGTAATGGTTTTGATGCCTCGTTGGAGAGTTTGTTTTTGGACAGGAAGTGGCCCCCGTCCTGGAGAAATTTGACCTGGGCATGGAGGTCAGCAGCTTGTCACAATTATCCTCCAGGTACTTTTACTTCCACATTTTGGGGGGGAATGAGCTGGTATCTCCCAGAGCTCTCTCTGCCTTTGGCCAATCAGGAGTGTCACAGGAAGGGAAGAATCCAGTTGGCAAAACCTTTATCAGCCCATCAGCACCACTGCATGACATGGGAAGACAGCCAGACATTCTTCTCACAGGAGATCAGTTTCTTGGCTCAGCCTGTGTTTAAGTGGGTCCTCTGCCACTTCTCTGTTGCTGATAGTAACCCATTTGGCAGCCAGACATGACTCTGTTGCCTGGAGGAGGGCTGAGGTGGAGGCAATAAGCAAATCAAGTCACTGTAAACTTCTCTGCAGTCATCCTAGGAATGTTTTGAGAGCACTTCATTTACCATATTACTCACAGTACTCAGTTTCTTTCTTTGCCTCTTTGAGAGATAACATACATCTGTCTGACCTAAAGCTATGCATTTCAACAGAGCAATCAGAAGGTGTGGTCAACCAGTGACTTGCAGACCTGAGGTACGATGAGCTTCAGTGTGTTACCTGAAGGACACTGTGACAGCGCGCATTTGCTTTTGCAGGGAGCTGTCACTGCCCAGTCGGAGAGGAGTTTCAAAGAACAAAATCACTGTGAGGCCCAGTTTTTTTCCCTTCTGTATTTTCACTATTTCTACCGCAAATCTAGGATCTAAAGTTCCAAAAAAAAAAGAATAATTAAACTAAGCTACTACAAGCTAAAGTATAGTAAATGTTTGATGAATTAAACACTTAAAAATAGTGTTGAATAGTATCAGTACCTCAAGAGAAAGATAAGTGGACATGAGTTTTTTTGCATACATTTTGTATTAAGTATTGGCCTGTTGAGTACAGCTATTTCATCTATTTGCATATATGTTAGCATTAAAAAAGATTATTTTAACACTTACTTTAATTGATCTACCGATGGTCATTTGATCTATAAAATATCAGTTTTATCACAGTGTCCTGAAGCCCAAGGTGTGGTCTCCAACCAAGACTCCAAAACCCAAAGATCACATAAGTCAAAGAAATCGAGCAAAGTTGGAACCAGAGAATGTTTGATATTTCTAATGTAATGACAAAAATAGCAGATTAATTTTCTGTTGATAAATCAATTAATTGACCATCTAAAAAGTTGTTTCGTGTAGTTTCAAACGAACTTCAGTTTGTTGAAATAAGGTGAGTGAAATCACAAGATTGGCCAACATACTGACATCATCATACCGAGATATTTGCAAATTTGTAGCTAATAAGCCAACTAGAGATCCATAGTATTTCTGCAAGCTTCCTGTAAGATGAAGTTTGTCACACAGAAAGCATATCATTCACTCTCTGACAAGGCCATGAGTATGCACGGCACAGCTCTCAGTCATTGTTAATCAACTTAAATTTCTCGACTATCCACATTGAACACGCGAAACAAATGATAGTGGTTTAATCATGGATAATACATATGATGTGATATCTATCTAATGTTAAGTATATGTATGATTTTTCTTTTACTCGGGTCTTACCAGTTTGTACCATGCTCCATGGAGCAAACTCAACACAACTATCATCGTGAAGGAGGCAGGTAAAGGAAATTATTTTAATAGTGACTCCTTATTCACAGCTTTATTTGAATTAGTGTGTGTGTGTGTGTGTGTGTGTGTGTGTGTGTGTGTGTGTGTGTGTGTGTGTGTGTGTGTGAGACTATACAAAATTACATACACCAGGATGGGGCCTAGTGCCACATCTTGCCTGCAGACAAAGTCTTTGTGCTTGTTTGTGATTCGTGTAAACTAAATTTAAGAGGTATGTGTCATGTCCAGAACCCGTTTGCTGGTTCAAAGCCTCGGTCCAGCAAAGTACATCTCATTTTAATTTCCACTTATTTTCAACCATCGACCACTAATCAATAGGGTTTTGCAATTTTTCATGGGAGTGGAAGCAGTTTCCTTTGATGATGCAGTTGAGGCATTCAGAAATCAGCACTCTGTTTGTTTAACAATTTGTGGGCAGCCTCTGTTTATATGCACTCGTGTGAGTAAGGCAGCTGCTTGCTACCGTGATTGGTCTGGATCAGTTTAGACCAACTGGTGCAGGCAACAATGAAATCTAGAAAGCTGTCTCAAAGATAAATGCACCAGTTCAGTGAATCCCAGCATACAAATGGCTGGCTATATGTCAAATGAGCAAATGACAATTACTTAGGACAGAAAACAGAAACTAACTCTTCTACCCTGCTCTACCTCAGCATCTCTCCTGGCTCCACTTAGCCACCACCCTGTTGTTCCTTTGCCACTCTGCTGCAGCTTCAGTGCCATCCAGCATCCTGCCTCTTTCCACTTCCTTCTCTGTCAGAGAGGTAATTGGAACCAGAGCGGTGGGAGAGAGCCAGTGCTGGAGGGTTAGCCTTGGACCTGCCCTCTGAATTGTGAGCCACACCACTTTTTCCGTGTCCATCTTCTGGGATGGCCAGCAGAGCTTTATAAATGACCATGTCACTGGTCTTTCAGAAATAATGGAACGAGCCAAAAGTGAGCCGAAGTGCCACTTTACAAGTTGACATTTGTCAGCGGCAGTAAAATGAGTATTTCTCTAAGCACCAAGCCTAAATGCTGAAATTGGCTCAAGTAGTAAGTAATTTGTGAGAGATAATTTCAGCAACTGCTAAAGTTGTCATGGGTGAGGTTCTTTTTTTATTTTATTGATTTTGACTGTGTGCATCTATTACAGTGATATTTCTCCTTGGATATTATTTTAATGTGAGTAAAAACAAACTAAAATGCAGTTTTCCCAAGAAAGACCAACCTGGGTGTTTAAAACAGTAAATGAAAAAGCTTTCATTAAGTGGAGATATGTAGGTGGAATTGATAATATGCCATTTCCTAATAGACTGTAGCTAAAGTCATTGATATGAGAATGTCATAAATTACTGTTTATTTGCCTTGCCACTCAGGTGATTGTGGGTGTTAATAATTTTCCATAAACTGTGTAGTGCTATGATTAATAAGATCCATTCAACAATATGTTGTTTATCTGCAGTTTTTTATTTTCAAAAACAAAACTGTTTTTGGTAGTAGTGCAGGCACACACACATAGATATTTGAACAAAACTAGCAGAAAGTCACACAAACAAAATCTTTCCACCACTGGATCCAAACGAATTTATATATAAAACATGTTTTATGACCATATAATGAGAATAAACAAAGATAGCAGGGGGAAATGATTGCTGCGACAAGCTGCTCAGTGGAAGATATATTCAATATTGTGTGAAAATTATGCTTTGTTATGGTCGAGCAGTCACAGGATTAGGTTACATAGCGAATTGGACAAAACCAAGCTAATCATTTTAAAGGTAAAATAATATTAAAGAAAGAATCGGTATTTTGTCGTAATTTAAATATATTTTAGTAGTAAAATGGAACAGTAAGGAGGGGAATGTTTACCTATTTCATCTTTAATTGAGAACAAAATCCAATAATTCTTGTCCCCACAGAACCAAGGTGCTATAATGTTCTGCTACTCTCATGACAAGTTTAGATCCGGGGACTCTAGATCTTAAACCAATATATAGCTTATTAATAGAATTTATGTGCCATATACCGTCTTCTAAGGGACGGGCTGCCTAATTATCCCACAAGCTGAATGATATTGGTGTGCTTTATTAATGTTCCACGGTATTGCCAGGGACAACCAATAAATACGACACTGGGGATTCCACCAAATGAAATGGGAATATTTCAGTCTTTTAATGAAGCACTGTCAATGTGCACCACATATACCCTTATTTAAATATGCACATGATCCTTCAAAGACATATTATACAAAGGATGGGTAAGTGATGGTAGCTGACTTGCCTTTTACAACCGAAGAGCTGCTTTGAGCCGCCTTGGGTCCTTCCTCATAAGAAAAACAACAGCACTGCATACAGATAAGATTCGCCGCATCTTTTTTATTATGATGATATTGTTCGCTAGGTGGACTTAATGAGCACCACGGGGCACTGGTATGACTTAACTATCCTTTTTTTCAGGTTGTCTAATCCTGTTGGAATTAATGGGAAAAGTTTACATTACAGACATGGGCATTTACAGCAATGGGTCAGGACATCAAAGTACCAGCCTGGGTTTCTCTCACTTTTCATTGGAACATAATGGAAAATCAAACATCATTATCAGTACATCGAGCCATAAAAGACAAATGTGTGTGTTACTGCTCACACTCTGTTTTCCTCAGTGTTTTATGTCCTCCCTTAGGAGATGTTAAGGCCTGTTTCAGAACGGCCATAAATCCCAAACTTAGTCTTTTTTTTCTTTATCGCAAAGGGAGGCTGCTGTCTGGCTGAAGATTGACCATGGCTCAGGGCTGGATAGAGACCTATATGACAGGCCCCACTGAGGACTGAATGGACAGCAGTGTCTGATGAATGGCCTGCCTCCCTTCTTAATCACAAAGCCCTCACACCAAGTGAGACACCAACAAAGGCAAGTGTGGTAACGCTATACAAGGCCAAGGTTCTCAATATACCTTTGGTGACACACTCTGACTTTTTGTGGTGTATCAACACAGTGTCTGTTTCACAGCCGGCCCTGCTCAGTCAGTTCAAAAACTGAAAAGGTTGTTATGTGAGTATGTTCCTGGGATGGCAACCACATTTATAAGATAAGTCTCTGGTGATATTCAATTTTGTTGTTATTGTCAATAAATCCCATGAAAAGACCAAAACCTACAATGAATTGTTCCTACCGACAAGTACTGTCTGTGAGGTCAAAGCCTGACATAGCTTATTCCTCTGTGCCTTAAGCTTCGGCTGTTGAAAATGTAATGGCCCGAACTGTTTCCCTTGCGATGAACATTGCCACTGTAATCGCTTTTCAGGTCCACATACACCGTCCTGCTGCTGTAAATACTCACAAGAGCACAAGGTGTATTAATCCACAACTGAAAGTAGGCCCCAACAAATGCATGTTTTATTCCAGTGTGGGTAAGGTTTCTTATAACAGACACAGAGACCAGCTGTTTTAGGGAATTATGTTTTAAACTAAAACTGTGTTTGTTTATGTCTTCAAGGTAAGAGAGGGCTCACAGATGAGTGTTGAAATACTGGATAACACTGGATATTGTTGGTTTTGGTCTTACCCTTTAAAATGCTAATGTATGGGGTTTGCTTATAAATGCGAACAGTATATTTAAACAAAATGTCACAAATACTATGCATATTCTTTTTCATTTCATCCCCAAATGTGTTGTCAGGAAAAGGTTTTCTGCACTTGACACAACAAAATGCAATGTGTAAATCCTAATAGTCCGAAAAAAAGGCTTGTGTCAGTGGAAATAGGTCACCCTAAATACATCCTTCACTGTCTGCACATTGATGAGTATAAGGAAGCAAAATTGTCCTTCAGAGCCTGTTATTATTTGAGCAAGCTATTGCAATGCACGATGCACAGTGAGCCTGGAGCATGGCTTGCATTTGCTGTACTCTCCACTGCAAAATGAGACTAGTCAAGCCTTAATGTAACCAGCAAAAGCTGGATAAAAATCTATACAAACTCAATTATGAATCAATTTGAGTTTGTGTCAGACAGTCTGGTGCCAACAGAGTGGATTTTTTATTAACTTATGGTCTGGGAAGAATGAAACACTTTTCATTTGTGTACTTCAGTATGTTGCTTCATGATTCAGAGGAAGGGTGTTCACACTTTGTCTTGGAGGGACTTATCTCTCGTGGTGGACCGGGTTGAGAGGCACAGCGTTTTGTGCCCTACTTGTGAAATCAAAATGGCTTATTTTCAGTTTGTTACTTCACTGCTCAAGATTGTCAAATTATAAAAATTTGAGGAGATGGTGAACCCCTTTTTTTAAAGCAGAAGGTAGCTCAACAGTTGATTTAGCAATTAAAATTAAATCCCTCCCACATTGATTCATATTACCACATTGCTGTAGTGCATTTGAGTTCAGATGGATTTTTACCCTGCACCCCACTGTCCTGCTCTAGCGTATCAAACTAGGTCACATACTTGAATATTCATGATCCTCTATGACAACTTCCCGCTATTCCATGTCAAGACCTATGTTAATTCTGAGATTTGCACATTTGAGCCTACTTGAAACTCTTTAACTTCACTACCTCAAATTTGGAGCTCTCTGAGAGCCAGTTTGACAACTGTAGCCCCTCTGGAAAGAAAATATTGTGCTGCACAAGATCATCATTAAATATTATCCGTGTTTGGTGGAGATTCAAGCAAGTTATTTCTTTGTTGTACTGGACATATGGTTGCCTTTTTGGACAGTCGCTCAGGCTACAGCTGTGATAGCTTGAGATGTTATTGATTTGAGCAAGATAGCCAGGTGGCCAATAGGATTTCCAGAGAATGCTGTTGTTTTTTGCGCATAGATAGATTGTGCTCCAATTCTCATGTGTCAATGGAGAAATGACAGTTGTGACTTAAATATTCTGAAATGTAATGGCCAGTTTGGACCCACAGCTCATCAACATTACAATCCATCTGTCAATCATAGCCCATCACGTCGTTATCATCAACCAGTTGCCGTCTCTATTATATTGTAGTGTGTATGTGCGCACAAGCAGGGACAAAGCATTCACACGTGCACACAAACACACACAAGTCCCATTGGTTCCATTAAAAGTTGCCCTACAGTAGTTTGTCCTTTTTGGTCCCTAACTCATACACCTGCCACTTGCCAGGAATACCTGCTCTGTCCCTTAAGGTCTATAAAGCACTAAAGAATTGCCCAACAGAAATGACAGCATTTTCTCCTGACATTTATACCCAGTGTGAGTTGACCTCTCATTAGTAAGAAAGTGGGTCATATAGGATCTACTAGTTATCAATTCTTGAGTGAGAAACGGAAGTTGTGTATACTTCATCTTGGGAAATAAAACAACCCTCTTGGTAGTCATTTACTATTTTGCTGCCAAGAGCAGCATCATTAATTGGAAACGGTGTGGAATGCTTGGCATGGTCCTTTTCTAACAAGTTGACGGAGAACGGAGGCTTTCACAGCCAAACTGTGGGTGCGTTCAGCACAGAAACAGTAGGGAGGAAAGCAAATGTGATGGGAACACGCAATGTTAGATGAAAAAAGGAGAGACATTTTAAGAAGAAAGGTAGTTAGGAGAACCATAATTCTGCATACAATATCGAGAATGTATTGTCCCGTTGGTTTATTTTAACTTCTCTTTCTTGGTTTTTCCCGCTATCTTTGTTGTTTTCATGCTTCACGTTTTTTTTCCCTTCATTCGTCGTTAAAAATTACCACCGCCCTGTTGATGTATCTTGAAGATGAATCCACTGAGATTGGGCTTCTATAGCTGAACATGCCCAAGGGAGCCTCATCACCCCCGCTGTAATAGACAAGAACAAAAGGAGAGGAGAGGGAAGGAAAGGAGAGAGGCAAGAATTCCACCGAGCTACAACAAAGCACACAGTCAAATCTTCAACCCCCACCCCACCACCCCAGCCCCCCTCGCACCGTCTACAGCAGCCGTTCAACCTGCTTGCCGTGAAGATAGCTCGATCCTCATCTCACCCTGGGAGAGAGATATACTGAGGTATATTGATCATAGTCTGCTTACAGCTGTCATTAATTCAGACAACTCAGAGCTTAATGAGAAGTTTTATTTCTGCCTCTCAGTTCCTTTGTTACTCAGCTGTATTAGATGCCCCCCTACCCCCCTCCTATTTAGTGTGACATAGATGCTGCCCCTCTACACCGCCCCCTGCCAAATCCAACATTTAAAGATTTATCTCTTAAATGAGAACCTGTGGTAAACAGGCTAATCTGTTTGGCAGCACTCACGGTCATGGCTGAATAAAACATTTGACAACGCTAAGCCCCTGAATCTTCCTATCTCTCTCTGGCAAAAGGCCTCTCGCTGCCTCCCTTCAGGGCTCCTTCATTGTTAATCCTACCGATCGCATTCTTCTAGCTTTTTGCCGTGCTGCAGGGGTGTGGCCGGACTTTTGTCTCGTCTGACAGAGAGTTCATTATGTGATTGGCGAGGAGCTAATGCAATAACGCTCATCACGTGCCACTACCGGGGCCAAGTCCAGCCATTCATGCAGCACTCTGTTCTTCTTCCTCCTCTCTCTCCCTCCTGTCTTGTGGAGGCAGCCTGCCACCTCTCCTGTGGTGACAGGTTCCCTCTGAGGTATTTAACCACTTGTCTTGCAAAACCCCTTTTAATTGAAATTACCCATTGGCTGATAAGCTTCTGGAGCCTTATCAGGGAGGAGATATAGTGGTTAGGGTCTTTCATGCTGGAAGGTTTTGCCTTGGCTTGCTCTTCTCACTCTTTTTCTAATTGTCTTCCCTCTATCTTCACTCCTCACCTCTGGTCTGTCTCTCCTTTTTTTTCTCTTTTATTTCTGTTTATTTCTATCTGTTCCTCACTTTGTTTCCCTCTTTTTTCCCTCTCTTTCACTTTTCTCCAGGTTTGAAAGTTGCCCAGTCAAGCATCCTGCCCTGTCTCTTTGGTGATACAGGTGCTGTTGTTGCGGCCTCATAGCGTGCAATATGCTACATGATCCAGTAAGCACTTTCCTTTTTATCTGACATACACAGAGCTATGAACCACTATGACACGCCTCCCCTGTTGTGAGCTGTCAGGAGTCACCGGTTAACACAGCTAATGCTGCTCCAGCCAATGTCACTAGCCTTGTGTGTTTTTCAAATCAAATGGCATTACAGCAGTCTCATCAGTCAGTACACATTCAGCTGGTTCAGGCACATTACGCACTAATGCAGAAGTACCGTAATTAGGTCAGTAACAATCTGCTATTTAAATTCAGTCACAGTCAGAACTTGACAGTACTCCTTCCCACACACACGCACATACTCGTAGTGAGACAGCAGTATCAGCAACTGAATTTGTCTTTTTTTTAAGTGACAGGGGAAATTTAGTAATGACATCATTCTGTATTAAACAACTCATCCTGTTTTTCTCAGTCAGCTTCTGCCTGGCTGTAAGAGTCTCTACAGAATTATCTTCTCAGATTGGGTACCCTGGAGCATGCAGACTTCTTTTGTATAACACTGAAAGAAGAATGATGTTATCAAGTCAAAGACTTCTACGGTGCGTTGGTTTGCCAATAGAAATGCACATTAGCTTGGTTCAGTATCCCCCTCTTTCTAGTTGCAGCACAGCACACTGCACTTTTGAATGGGCTCCAACTCAGCAGGCTAAATTCAATATGAAAATGCAATCAGCATAAAGGAAGGTAAACAAACTCAACCATATCCTTACTTTTCCAAAGATGACATGAATACATGCACAGTAGGACAGGCTCATGAGTACACACAGCTCAAAAGGCTGCTTGTATGTTAAACAAAACACATCTTAGCTACCTGGAATTTTTTTTTTTATATATTTAAATACTTCTCTTGTGAGTCAGTAAATAAACTTCAACCTCTGCCCTGTTGAACATAATTTGAAGGCCATGGCCTGCCGAATATAGTTTGATGAGTACTTACTATGCTGAAACCCACATCACTCTTCAGGCATGGCACAAATGAGCAATTCAGTGGTCATTTATAATGAAGAGACTGTTTTTATCACAACTCTTGGTATGAACAAATCAATGTGACACCAGTGTTACATCTGAAT